TCTGTGTATGGAGGGGGTGGGAATGATTCTTGCTATAAGGATCTGTTACCCCCTTTGAGCTACTGCATCCGTAGGTGTAGGTCAGGTTCATCAAATTGTATCAGATTACTCTTTTGTCCCTCTTCTTTCTTCTTCTGGTTGAGCTCTGATCATCTAGTCATTGAAGCCAGGTCAAGTGGGTATTATCTGCAAGTGTGGGTGTTCTTGTACATATGCCCTCTCTTTTAATCTGCTGGATGCTTCCCTCTCCACTCTAGTCCTCTGTGGCTATGTCACTGACTCTGGGCCCAAGAGTCCCCAGGTCTTGCCACACTGCTGGCCAAACAGGTCTCCACCCTGGTTCACAGAAGTCTATTGAACATTGTAGGGCTTAGCTTGCAGTTTCAATGCTGTTTTTCTCTCACTTCCCCTTATCGGTGATGAGTGTGGTCACCAATCAGAGTGTGTATATTCCCATTGGGTCTTAGTCTTGGAAGGGGGTTTACACTGAGGGGACCTGACTACTTGCCTTGATATCTCCTGGGCAACAACTTGTAGTAACAGTCGGTCTGCCTATGTTGTTTTGTATTGTTCCTGTACGTCTTTCTTTCAAGAAGTATCTTCTGTTCTTCTAGCCGCTCCAGGCTGATCTGCTCATCCTTTTAAGTGGAAATTTCCCATCTCTGAAGATCTGGATGTGGTTCAGGCTTCCACCTATAGTCTTATGTAATGCAGAGGCTCCGCAGGAAGCCTCCTTCACTGGGCACATTGTAGTCCCCATTTTAAGTATCACCTGTTTTTTCTGGTAAAATGGTGTTTCATAAGAAAAGGGGCTAGTTTAACTTACTACTCAAACAATCGCACAAGTGCTTTTCTTTGTGATAATCTTATGTATGTTGTTGTTGTTAAGTGCCGTTGAGTTGCTTCTGACCCATAGCAACCCTGTATAGGGTTTCAAATGAGCAGCTGGTGAGCTTGAACCACCGACCTTACAGTTCAAATGGTTTTGCAGTCTAGCACATTAACTCACAGCGCCACACCAGGACTCTAATCTTATGTATATTTCTAATTTAATTATACAAAATATTGAAAACATGTATTTAAGGGTTGTGATATAATAAAATTAATAATTTTACTGCTTTATCAACAACATTCTTACATAAAATTGGTGTGCCTGTCAGTAAAGATTAATTGAAAGACTACCAGTAAGTTTTGGTTGTTGTTGTTAAGTGCCATCAGGTCGGTTCTGACCCATAGCGACCCTGTACAGGGTTTCCGAGGTTATAAATCTTTTCGGGAGCAGAAAGTCTTATCTTTCTCCCGTGAAGCAGATGGTAGTTTCAAACTTCTGACCTTAAAGTTTTGTAGCCCGATTCGTAACCACTACGCTACCAGAGCTCCTTTTAAGTTTTGGTACAACGGCCTTAATCCATGCTAAGATTGTGGTGCTTTTGCTCGCCTTCTGTGCTGTTGCACCATCATACAAATGTCACCATTATGAAAAAGACAAATAATACTAAAGTGTTATAAAATTGATTATTAACCTTGTCCATCCCTTGAAAGGTTTGAGGGACCTCCAGGTACCTGCAGACCATCAATACTTTGATGTTATAGTTTTGAGTCCTTTATAGGATATATGTATCACGAATATTTTCTACTACTTTGTGGCCTGCCTTTAGAACCTCTTAAATGGTATGTTTCGATGTGTGTATTACCCTTCTGGAACTATAAATTCATTTTCTAGTATTTTAAAAATTAACTGTTTTCTTTGCCCTTAAGGATAAATTTGTTGGTCACAGCAAAAATTCGTTACATTATCTTGTCCCTGAATGATTCCCGTTCTGTCTGCTTTCCATTCCAATATGGATATCTATTCTACAGTGTTTGTGTGTGTGACCTGTGCTTCTTACAGTTCTGTATTCAATTATATATATATATACATACTCAGTATACTTAGCTGTATAGTGATTCACACATTACAAAGTAACCTTAAGTATTCATGTTAACTGGTGAGTTGGAGGAAAAATTGGGGATATTTAAAAACTAAACTTCAAATGTTTACATGAAGTTAGATTCTTCTAGATCACAGATGTTTTTTCATTAACAATTGTAGTCTTATAAGAATTTCATTTCAAGAAATGAGTATTCAAGATTATCCTAAATCCAGTGAAACTTTATATGTATTAATAACACTGCCTAAATATACTCTGATAGCGTAGTGGTTACAAATTGGGCTGCAAACCGCAAGGTGAGTAGTTCGAAACTACCAGCTGCTCCGTGGGAGAAAGATGAGGCTTTCTCCTTCCGTAAAGATTTACAGCCTCAGAAACCCTGTTCAGGGTCGCTATGGGTCGGAACTGACTCGACGGCACTTAACAACAAGAACAAAATATAGTAAACATTTAATGCATATTTTTATATTTACAATAGGTAATATTACAGGGATTTACATATCTATCATTATTAAAACTTAAAAATCTTTCTATAATATATACTGGACCGCAAGGTCAGTTTGAACTACGAAGTAGGTGGTTCAAATTCAACAGCTACTTCTTGGACACACTATACAGGGTTGCTATGAGGCGGAACCAACTTGACCCCATTTAGCACCAACAATAGTATATAAAGACACATCAGTTCTCTTAAGATGATTAAAAGAGTAATGTTGCTATACTACTTTATAGGTGCTAAAGGAAATGTCAGTTCCTATGGGGACATTTAATTGCCCTCTTTCTTTAGGGTTTCCCTTTCCTTTAACAGCAGTCCTTGGGGATCCTTTCAGTGTTTTTTGTTTATCTCGTTACCTTCCTAGGAACCTGGCTCCCAAGTGCTAGGGTGGGACTGAGTCTAATGAGCAGAAGCATTATAACATGATGAGCTTTAGGGCTAATGCTTACAACGCCAGTCTTAGCTCTTCTCTCAAGGAGTCCTGGTGGTGCCGTGGTTAAGAGTGCTCAGCTGGTAACCTAAAGGATGGCAATTCAAACTCATCAATTGCTCCATAGGAGAAAGATGCAGTAGTCTGCTTCTGTAACGATCACGACCTTGGAAACCTTGCAGCAGTTGTACTCTGCCCAGTAAGGCTGCTGAGTCGGAATTAAAGGACAGCCCTGGGTTTGGTTTAGTTTGAATCCAGCTCTGATGTTAGTTCTTGGCCCCAGTATAATGATGTGGCTTTGGTTACCCTTAATCATGCCTATTTTATATTATTGAGAAAGGACTCGCGGCACAATTGTATTACTGGTGCTAGCTGTAAGAAGGGACTCCAGAAAGTTTGTGGAAATTTTTCATGATATTTTTTTATTTACATTTTTCCATGAAATTTTTGAAACCACCTCATAGAAAGGCAAGGGGGACTATTGCAACCTTTTATCTGATTCAATAAATTCCCCTAATTATTGTATATAGCACTGTTACTGTTAGGTGCCATTGAGTCAGTTCAGACTCATAGTGACCCTATCTATGTCCAACAGAACAAAACACTGCCCAGTCCAGCACCATCCTCACAATTGTTATGTTTGAGCCCATTGTTGCTGTATCTGAGTCTGTCCATCTTTCTGGAGCTCTTCCTTTGTATTGCTGATATATAATGCTAGTCTGTGTCTGTATTTTTTGCTTTGTTTTGTTTTTAAATTAGAAATCACAATTATCTGAAATTACCAGGAGGTATTTTTACAGGTAGCTCATGAATATCAGCTTGTACTATGACTCACTATCACTTTGTTTTGCCATGAGTTAACACGTGACCTCCCTAATAATATTTAATATTTAATTCACTGACTTAAAAAAAAAATCATCTGAATGTCATGTGATTAATGTGTCTATACCCTCTATTTCATACATTCCATGTTCCTATTATTAATGGATTTAGGAAAATTGGAAGTTGTAAAAAATGAAATGGAATGCATAAACATAGATATCCTAGGTGTTAGTGAGTTGAAATGGACTGTTATTGGTTATTTTGAATCTGATAACCACATGGTTTACTGTGCCAGGAATGATAAATTGAAGAGAATTGGCACTACATTCATCATTCAAAAGAACATTTCAAGATTCATTTTGAAGTACAACGCTATCTGTGATAGGATAATATCCATATGCCTATAAGGGAGACCAGTTAATACAACTATTATTCAGATCTATGCACCAACTACTAAAGGCAATAATGATGAAATTGAATAATTCTACCAACTTTTTCAGTCTGAATTTGATCAAGCATGCAATCAAGATGTATTGATAATTACCGGTTATTGGAATACAAAGGTTGGAAACAAAGAGGAAGGATCAGTTGAGAAATATGGCCTTGGAGATTGAAGCAATACTGGAGCTCGCATGATAGAATTGTGTAAGAACAATAACTTGTTAATTGCAAATACCTTTTAAACAACTTAAAAGATGACTATACACATGGACCTCACTAGATGGAATACACAGAAATCAAATTGACTATATCTGTGTACAGAGACAGTCGAAAAGCTCCATATCATCAGTTAAAATAAGACAAGGGACAGGCTTGAACTAGACCATCAGTTGTTCATAAGCAGCTTTTTTATCAATGGAGAAAAGATTGAAGTTGTCAAGGATTTCGTTCTTTTTGGATCAACTGTCAACAGTCACAGAAACAGCAGTCAAGAAATCAAACAACGTATTACATTAGGCAAATCTGCTGCACAAGACCTTTTTAAAGTGTTGAAGAGCAAAGATGTCAACTTGAGGACTAAGGTGCACCTTATCCAAGCCATGGTATTTTCAATTACCTCATATGCATGCAAAATCTGGACAGTGAATAAGGAAGACTGTAGAAGAATTGATGCTTTTGAGTTGAAAGTGCCATGAGCTGCCAAAAGAACCAGTAGACCCATTTTGAAAGAAGTGCAACTCGAATGTTCCTTGAAGGCCATGATGGGTAAACTTCGTCTCTCATACTTCAGACATATTGTCAGGAGGGACCAGTCACTGGAGACGGATATCATGTTTTGTAAGGTGGATGGTCAGAGAAAAAGAGGAATACCTCCAACGAGATGGATTGGCCAAGTGGCAACATCGATGGACTCAAATGTAGCAACAGTGGTGAGGTTGGCCCAGGATCAGGCAGTGTTTCGTTCTGCTGTACATAAGGTCGCTATGGGTTGGTACCGACTTGATGGCACCTAACAAGAATAACAACAACAACACTTAGGCCATGCAATCCTGTCTCAGTGTTCCCCTATCTATCTTGTTCTTCCACGTCCTCCTCCTTGTATTGCTCTCCCCAACACCCAAACTAAATCTCCCACTCCAAACACACTATTGTGGTTACCTTATATTTCATTAACTCTTTCCTTCATTTGAGGCAGTCTATCCTGCAATCTACTTGACCTTCTCACCACCTGGATCTCTGTTCCTCTGTGTTTACCTTCTTTCACATTGTAATTGTTTTGATCATTGACTGACCTCCTAAATCCTCTGCTCTTATAATTTTATTCTGTTCTTGACTCTTTCATTTGTCGATTGAGTTCAGGGTGATGCTGCCACATATATCATTATCTGGTTGTTGTCTGTTCTTGTTGGTTCTTAGTCCACAGAACTTCCTTTAAGATGTTTTCCATAGCAGGGTTGTTGTACCGCCTTACTTTTTAAAATGATTTCAATTTTTATTCCGTTAATTCCTGGTGCCTTGTTCTTTGCCAATTCATTCACTACACCTTGGACTTCCTTCTTCAATATCATTGGCTCTTGATCATATGCTACCTCTTGAAACAGTTGAACATTAATCATTTCCTTTTTAAATTTTTTTTTAATTTAAGGTTTTTATTGTGGATTGAGTGAAAGTTTACAGGGCATGTCATCAGTTTCACATTTAACAATTCATATAACTTGTTGCATTACATTGATTATAATTCCCTCCATATACCATGAGTTAAAAGTATTTCTCTTTATCCACTTTAGCCTTTTAAAAAACACACAAACAAAAAAACCCACTCAGGCATATATAATAATTTATATCTCTAAAGGGCACATTCTGCAAGTCTGCTCCTGGCCACCAGTTCTTAGTCCTTCTCTTCTTAGTTGATGAATCTAGAGTCCTCAGCCACTCCCCCCCTCCATGCGCCTGTCTCTGCCTCCATCTCTGGCACTGCTGCTTCTCTGGATAAGGTCCCGCATTCTGTTTGTGCATTGCTCTCTTGATGGTCCTAGGGTCCTCTGTTTCTGGACTGCAAGATTAAGCATTCCCCTTTTTTTGTTACAAAACTTCTACCTTTACAATTGTGACAGTCGCTATTAGTCATGATAACAGTTATTCACTATTGAATCTTACGAATCTTATCCCATCTCCTTTCTCCAGACCCATCTAGACAAGATGATAGCTATTCAGTGGGGACTCTTTCTTTCCCCCAACCCTCTTAAACTAAGCGCCCTCTTGAAACCTTGTAAGTCAGTCACTTCGTGCCTTTATTGCCACCTCATTTTAGATAGTCAGTGTCTAAGTTGCCCGTTCCTATCTACCCTGTGCACAGAACGGATAGCATTGAAACTTGATTTGAAGACTCTTTCACTCTCTGTTGGTATTTACAGTAACTACCGCTCTGAGTATAGGTCAGGTTCAT